TCTCCACAGCCATGAATGTGAAAAATGGAGGCTAAGGAGAAGGGGGAAATGCAGTTAGCGATCTTTATTCCAATAAAATCTTATATAGAAACCAAATAAACATTATTATATATATAATTTATCTGAATATATATACACACACACGTGTGTGTGTGTGTGTGTGTGTGTGTGTATTCAGATAAAATGGAGTTTCTTGTACTGAAGTGGGGATGAGGATTTAAAGTCTACCCTCTTCGGCTTCCTAATATTCTGAACCCAAGATGGCCTTATAGGAGTTTCAGGAAAACCTTAGGTCTTTGTCATTTCTGCATCAGAGAAGCTAATCACTGGGATGAGATCGCACCTCAAGTATCACCTCACTAAGGTCAGGACTGGCCTTCGTGGGTGTGTCTGGGTCAGGGCGGATGCTAGGCTTACTTGTCATTGACGGGCAAAGGAGCAGTGCAGAACTGCCCAACGATTGTAGTACGGTCTTTTCTCCAAGCCCGGTGGGAGGCCTGAAACTTGAGGTTCACTTGGTGTATCTGGCACTGAGGATCGGGGTGAGCTAGGACTCCTTTCCCGTGCAGTTGCTGTCTAGGTCTGCAAGGAAAAGGGAGAGTAAGTCATAGGACTTTGGCTTTTGCTTCCCCTTGGCTCCTATGGGGCTCTGCTGGCAGCACTGGTCAGCTGTCACACATAAGAATTAGCTCTTTGAAGGTGGGGACCACAGTCCTTTGTATCTCTTCCACTAGCCCCTCTGCTCACACACCCACACCTTTGAATATGAGTCAGAAAATATTTGTTCATTTTTGAAAGTAAACAAGTGGACACTGCAGCAAAATAGTAGCTCTGGGGTTTTCATATTTGGAAAAACGTCCCTCGTTCTTAGATTTTTAGTTAGAAAAGATCCTAACTCTCAGATCCACCAACCTAGAAGTAGAGCCCTCTTTTAGGGCAGTGGTCCCCAACCCTTCTGGCACCAGTGCTCCTATGAAAATCTAATGCCTGATGATCTCAGGTGGAGGTGAGGTGGTGATACTAGCACTGGGGAGAGGCTGCAAATACAGATGAAATTTCGCTTGCTCACCACTCACCTACTGCTGTGCGGCCCGGTTCCTAACAGGCCACAGACTAGTACCGGTCCACGGCCCGGGGAGAGGGGATCCCTGTTTCAGGGCTATGCTATTTTAGACTGAGTATGAACGTAAGGGTGGTAAAAAACAAAGAAACAAACAAAAATATAGGTCTCGAATCCAGACAGAGCTGAGGTGAAATCCAGCTTTTGTCTCTTCCCAGCTGTGTGGCTTTGGACTCACACAGCCCCGGGTCCAAAGCCTGGCTCTCTCACGTGCTAGCTATGAGCTTCAATCACCCGGTTTGGTAGTGTTGACTAAGCCTGGAGGCCCAGAGTGAAAACAGGACCCAGGTCTTTCTTAACCTGCCACGTTGGCCTTGACCCTCCGAATCCCACTGGTTTGTAAGATTCAGGAACCGCTTTGGATCCGAGTCCGATGACAAAGATGGAGGGCAGAGTATGACATGATCAACCTGGAGAGGTGCTACAAAAAGGCCTGTGGGACCCTAGACAAAGGCAAGACTCAGTTTAGAGAAAAGAGGCCAGCCAAGAAAGTCACCAAGCTTGGCACAGGCCAGGCCCACCTCACAGAGCTTCGAGGGTGTTCTGTGGGAGAGAAGGGAAGGGATTTGCCTCCTGTGCCCTGGTCCTGGTCGCCAACCCTTTCGAGTCCTCTCTGAACTCAGAGGCTGTGGGGACTGTGCAGAAGAGGAAGAGTGGGAACATGATTCAGCCAGCGTGTTTGCCCTTTCCTTTTTGGTGTCTGTGGTGATGAAATGTCTTCTTCATGTACTTTGTAACCCAGGGTTAATCATATAGTTTGTTTCTTCCTTTTGAGGAAGATCCTGTATAACTTTGTTTAAAAAGCTACTTCTTTTATAATAAATTTCAGAACTGTTTTGAAATATTTCAGAGGAAAAAATAAGAAAGTCGTTTGCTTTAAGAAGCCGTTTGGATGAAGAAGCTTGCAAACTTGGAGTATGAAGGACTCTGTGAGTAGCCTGAGGACTTGGCCCAAGTAAAATTTCTAATTAGAAGAAAATCTTGGGTTTTTCTAAAGCTATATAAAGTGGGAAAGAAC